CCTGGTTACAATGGGCTTCTAACTCAGCAGCGCTAGGGGCCGCGTGCAAATCTGCCCCCGTTTTGGTGGCCACGTCTGCTTGATTATTGCCTACAGCGCTGATCCACTGCGCAGACATAGGCGTCAGCGAAGACACGTCCTGATGTGCCTCTACTTTGCTAACTTGAAAATCCTTTTGCGCATGATCTCGGATTATGAGCTTAACTCCTGTATAGAAGGACTTCCTGCAACAATACGCACTTACATACTGTTGCATGACAGAAGCTACACCAGCGTAGTCGGACGCTGCCTCAGTGACTAGCGGGAGGTTTGAATTTGTTGTAAGCACTGCTAAATGCTCCCCTGCACCAGAAATTTGCGGCAGTTGCTGACCTACCGTGCCCACCATTCGTGCCTTAAGCTCGCCAGCCGGAGATATCTTCGAGATCCCCCAGCCTGCGCGATTGAAACATGTATGCTGCGCCTTGCAACAACTGCCATCAACATGAACTTGGCCCGTAAAGGCCTGCTCATAACTTCAATCATCTGAAGACAAGAACTCAAAAGTTTCGTGTCCTAAGCCCGCCGGGGGCGCTACCTGGAAATTCGGGTGGGGCTGCAGCCCGCACACTAATGTCTTGCAGGCGTCAGGAATCAGAAACGCTGAATCAAAATCCTCTGGCAGCATTTCCTCCCTAAGTTGGCGAATCAGAAGGCAATGGATCAGCCAGTGATGCAGATCGTCTGCAGGAGCTCCACATGGGCACCTAACATCGTGCACTTATAACCGTGATCCGCAACACGCTTCTTGAACCATACCGCGTGGGAAAGAAAAGCTAGCAGGAGCTTTCTGTGACGGGGAGTCATGTCCTTGTCTTGTAGGACTTGTCGAGCAATGCCTGGATCCAGGGTCTCGTTGTCTGGTATTCCCAGCTTATGAATCATCTGAGGGGAGGTGTCCGTAAGATTGTACGTCTGCCCCGTGTCGCTAGTTACAACAAACGGGGAGGCGAAGCGAAGTGACAGAGCTGCGATTCCACTCTGCGAAGTGACAGAGCTGCTATTCCAAAAGGGCCCCGAGCCCGTCCCCACTTATTCGGTAGCTTGGCTAAGATGTCCTGCACGAGCCTCCTCAACTTTGGGAGGGGCCATTCCCTCCTCATCCGTGTATGCGTGTGGCTCTACCATACCAGAGAAGACCTTTGCAGAAATGGGGCCGCTGCTTGCTTCTACAGGGGGTTCTCTAAGAAGTACAGGGGGCGGGAGCAGGCGCGGAAGGATCGAGCCGCCGCAGAGTGCGGCTAATAACGTTACCAATACGTCGGACGAGAATGTTGTGACATTGACCCCGCTGGCCTTCGCCGAGTATGCGGTGACATTAACCCGGCCGGCCAATCGAGCACCGTTCTTTTGTTGTGGGACACGGTCAGGCCTCCGGAGGATTCCAGGAAAAAAAAGCAAGGAAAGACTCTTGGATCTGCTCTTTGATGGGCTGCCTGCAGCCCTGAGGAAATGCGACTCAGCCTGATCAAGCTCCAACGGATCTAAGCCGTGAGTCTCTGCCGCGTAGAACCCAAAAGCCTGAAGTCCCGTCACGTACATCTTTCTCATATCTGCACCTGCCTTCCGTAGGGCACAGAACTTATTTCTCCTATTCTTGAGGTTGGCCAATCGGGATCGAAGAGTCGTTCTTGTGCCTTTCCTTTGCCTCAGCGCTCTGCTCGTGTAGTCTATGCCTAGGTTCGGTGCTTCTAGCTCGTTCGTCGGCTTCGGGCCGTCACATTTTCCAAGCGATTTAACGACCATCTGTCTGTGCAATAGCGTGTTGGCGACAATGGCCGATGCCCTATTTGCGACCTTGCATCGGAGTTCTGTCCGAATGATTTCCCAAAGAGCTGCGGCTGATTCTGGTGACGCCTCTGCAACCATCTTCATGGTGTTCGCCGCTGCCTGAACGTAGATCGTGAGCCTTACTCTGCTAAAGTTTGCTGCCCAGGCCTTCTCCGTGTGCGCCGGCTCAAGCAGGTCTGGAGCCACTCGTCCATCACGTTGCAGAGAAAAGTTGAAATATTCAGCGCAACGGTAGTGCCGAAGTTGATGTACAGCCTCAGCACCGCGTGCTTGAATGCAGCTGGAAGGCGGCGATTAGACGGAGCTCATGCGAGAATGCTCAGAATCACCAATGGCATTAAGCACCCAATGATTTCACACTTATCAAACGACGAAGTCCGGCGTAGAACAGGGCAGAGGCCATTCGCAGACATTTTACTGAAGCACCAGTTGCGTCTCTATGCCAAGGCAGCCCGGGGGGCCGAGGGGGACCCATTGAGAGACGCCGTATTCTACCCCGGGACGCTTACGCCAGTAACAGACAAGTTCGTCCTGAAGATCGGGGGTCCACGGCTGGAATGGGCAAAATGGTTATATCCACGCGCCGTGCGTGTTTGTGGTAACGAAGGAGTTCATCAATTACAAGACGCAGATCAGTTTCATGCACGCCTGAGTGCCGCATTTGCCGCCGACGCGCCCTAGGGCGTATGGCTCTTCCTTCCTTCCTTCCTTCCTTCCTTCCTTCCTTCCTTCCATGGTGGCATTACTTCAAATGTGTGCGTGCCGTCGGCTGACTCTAGCAGGCGAGTCTCCGCGCAGTCGCGTGTGAACAAGCCAACTCCCGCACTGGGCTTGCCCGACTCGAGGCGACGACGCGGCGTGATTTATGCCTTCCAGCCTTTACACGCAGCCTGCAGTGCAGCGGCCTGCAGATCCCCTTGATCTACGCGCAGCTCCTGAGCGGCAGCGGCTGTGCTACCTTCTGCACCCTCCCCCAAAAACTGCTGGACGCTGCGCCGTCGCGAGCCGTTGAAGGAGGCGCGCGTCAGCTTCTTCTTTTCGGTGCCTCACTTGGCCCGCCTCCCATCCCAGCTCCGCGACAGGAGACTTCGGCGAGGTCGGGCTGGGGGCGACTCCTCCGCCATCGCCTCCAGGTTTGGCGGCGGGATGTGGGCGAAACGACCCGTGCACCGCAGCCGTAGATTGGGCCTCCATGGGTACGTCCTGAGTCGTAGCGCCTCCAGCACCGCCTGCAGCCGCTCGCGCCGTGGCCGCCTACCACCTGGCGCCTGCGCGGGGCCGTAGGCAGCCGCGCCTGCGGCCAAGGCGGCGGCGCGCGCGGCAGGGGAGGCCACGCCCATGGCTTGGATCTCGTTGTGGATGGGCTGCAGCAGCTGGATCCCCTGGCCAGCCTGGACCGAGAACTGCGCGCCGCCGATGAGGGACTGCAGGTTGAGGGTGTTGGTCGCCATGGCCGCGAGGTCCAGACCTTGGTGGCCCGCTGTCGCGAGGGTGTCGGCCGCCATCGCCTCCGACACTTCGCGTTGCAACACTTCGACGTCGGCGGCAAGTGTGATGGCCTGTTGGCGGAGCTGCACCACGCGGTCCTCCGCCTCGGCCAGCTGCTCGTCGACGTCCTGCTTCTCCTTTTCCTTGATCGCCAGACGGTCCCTCGCGCCCCGCAAACCGACCTCGGGGGGATGTTGCCTCCGCTCCTCGGCCTCCAGCGTCTGCACCACGCGGGCTGCAGCGACCACCAGGGGGTGGTCCTCCGCGTACTTGATGCGCCTGCGGGCTGCCAGGCCATTACGGGCTCGCACGACGGCCTCAGACTCCGCCGGCTGACCTGCAGCGAGGGATGGGCCTTCAGCTCCGTCGGGGCCTCCTGCAGCAGCATGCACATCAGGGCCGCGGCGGCGACGGCGAGCAGCCGATGCAGGCCTGGTGCGAGCGCGCGCCGCCTGCGATGCGGGAGGCTTGTTAGGCAACCGACCCTGCCTGTCTCCCCCACACTTCCAGCACGTTTGCCGCGTCGGGATGAATTCAACTTTGCGCTGCGATGCGTTGCTTTGCTCTGCTTTGCGTCGCTTTACATTGCTCTGTACTGCTTTGCACGGCTTCGCATTGCTTTGCGTTTCTTTGCGTTGCCTGGCATTGCTTCGCATTGAACCGCATATATTGGACGACAACGCTCTTCTGATTAGGAAGGGGAGGAACTGGAGGAGGACTGATACGAGGAGGGAAAGGGGGGAGAAGGCATCCAATTGCGGGTGGAGAAGAACGACGGCGACGATGACGACGAAGACGAACATGACGACGACGATGATCATGATGATGATAATGCAGATGAAGAAGAATATGATGATGATGATGACTATGCTGATGCTGATGATGACGATGATGATGATGATGAGGGTGGTGATGATGATGATCATGTTGGTGTTGATGATGGTGATGATGATGCTGATGATGCTGATGATGATGATGGTGACAATGCTGAGGATGTTGATACTGATGATGGTGATGGCGACGACGACGACGACGGCGATGCTGCCTCTGCTGCTGATGATGCCGATGATGATGATGCTGCTGCTGCTGATGATGATGATGATTCTCATGCTGCTGACGATGATGATGGTGGTGGCGACGATTCTGATCTTGCTTCTGATGATACTGACGGGGGATGTAGGAGGCGGAACAAGATGCTGGCGAGGAGTCTGACGCAGAGGAGAAGTATGGTGATGATACTGACGATGATGATGCCGATGACGATGATGCTGATGCTGATGTTGATGAGGATGCTTGTGATGATGGTGATGATGTAGAATGATAGTGGTGGTGGTGACGCTGATCGTGATGATGATGATGATGATGATGATGATGATGATGATGATGATGATGATGCTGATGATGATGATGATGATGATGATGATGATGATGATGATGATGATGAGGATGGCCATGATGCTGCTGATGATGATGAAGATGCTGATGCTGATGATGCTGATGATGGTGGTGATGGTGCTGATGATGATGATGCTGTGATGCTGATGATGATGATGCTGATGTTGATGCTGATGCTGATGCTGATGATGATAATGATGACGATGACGATGACGATGATGGGATGATGATGATGATGATGATGATGATGATGATGAGGATGATGATGACGATGATGATGATGGTGA